AGTGTGTGCTTTAATCCTGACGTCCTTCGCTCAGACCATCTCTGCTGTCGTGCTGGCGCGGCAAACTAGAACTTGCTTTACATCCAGGAAAAAGGCAAAGGTGTCCTAAAAAACAACCTACTTCCTTATAATAGCTAATAACATATCCTTAAAATGGTGACCCTCAAAGGTAAGGTAAAGGCAGGGTTACCCACAGTTCCTTTCCTCTCCTTATTCACTAGTGAGCTGAGGACAGAGTATGGGGAGTCTAGTGAAGTAAAAATATTAGTTAATTTTGTGTAACATTTCCACTGTCCCAATAAGAATGAAATATACTGGTATATATGAGCTGCAAAATACAAATTGTGTAATTTTAATGATTTCACATATATACTAAATACTCTAATTCCATATTTGGTCCATGTATGTACTAAATGCTTGCTGTATGTAAACTGGTGTCACACAAGCATAAACTGTAAAATTCACACCAATAATTTAAAATGTTAGTTTTTTTTTAACTTAGACATTAAATAATAAATAAGAGACATGAAAAGAGAGGGATCATGAAAGAAAGGAAAGAACATTTTAGTGCCTTTAACAGTACTTTTCTCTGATTTTGAATATATCCACTTTATACTGTGCCTCTAAACCTGGCTCTGTCTGAAAGCTCATGGGTTTGCTCTAACCTGGAGGGAGTGCCATGATTTGGCACATATGTTAGTAGTTTCTGGAGCTGTGATGCTGAGAGCAGACTGTACTGCAGAGATGGGTGGGCCAGTCAAGAGGCTGAGGCAAGAAAGAATGCTGACCAGACCACCATGTAACTGGTCAACCTGGGTATATATCAGCAGTGAAGCTGGGTATATATGCTGATGGGATGTAGGAAGCATGTAAGCACAAAAGAGTAGGAAGGGATGACATCAAGATTTATACTCAAATAATAAAGGATATAGCATTAAAGAGACAGAGACGGCTATGGGAAAGTTGGGGGTGAGTGAAGGGCTTTTGTTCTAGACACAGTATGTGTGGGAAAGCTGAGAGGATGAGAGAGCCCATGAGTTCAAGGATAAGTCCTGGATCTGAGAAAGACAGTCAAGAGTTGTGAGATGGTATCATCTCAAGTCACTAATGGAATGGTGTGATAAGAGGTGAAAAAACTATTCCAGAGCGCTGTGATGTTTAGAAGTTGAGGTGACAGGGCAAAACTAACAGAGAAATGAAATGCATCCAGGAGGATGGAAGAAAAACTGGGTCAGGATACCCAGACGTCCACACGAAGACAATGTTTCAAGGAGAAAATGACTTCAAGCTGTGACAGATGGTGGCCAATAACTCAAGTCTCTAGAGGACTAGAACTAATCACTACTTGTAGCAATGTGGAGATGATTACCAACCTTGACATAAGCAATGTTAGTGGATTCAAGGGTTATGAAACCAAAAGGAGAAGAAGTGGAGAGGAATGGCAAAGTTTAAAAAGAGTGATAACCTAGTGGCATAACAGGAGGGTGTATGCTCTCCTGCATGCAGAAGCTGCTGGCTAAATACTAAGGTGCCTGCTCCTTCTATTTGGACACAGACTAGATTATATTTTCCAGTCTTCCTTGCCTATGGCCATGGGACTAAGTTTTTTCCACTGGAATATAGGTTAGTGCCAGACTGGTCCCTAAAAGTCCCCCGGGTGCTTTTCCATGCTCCTAACTCTTTCAGTGGCTGTGGGGAAGCAGGAGACAATCCTGAGGGAATAAGAAAACCAACAGATGATGGGAGCCCTGTCTCCAAATGACTACACTAAAGACAAGGATCTTGTTGACTTCAGTCCCTGATAGAACTGTTAAAAGAGCAAGAGGAACAACTGGGTGTCAAGCTGTCACACTTACAGTGTCTATTTGTTATTTATTTTTTTAAGATTTATTTATTTATGCATACAGGAGCTGGGGTGCAGGCCAGAATTGTGGGAGATGAGAGGTTTCACAAGAGACAGTGGGGAGCAGAACAGACAGATCTACCATAATACACTGCTGAGGGGAGCAGCGGGTGAGACAGGGTCAGCTCCCTGGCTAGGGATCTAACTTGTGTTGCCTGTCCTGCAGATGGCTTCCTAGTGCTGCAACTTGACCCTTTGTACCAGCAGGGAGGCCCCTCCATTTATTATTCTAGCCTGAATAACCATAACTCATATACCTCTGCACATGCATGGGGGTCAAAAAGGAAGGCAAAGCCTCCTCAAGGAGAATTCAGAAACATATACCAACATGTAGAATAGGTAGCAAAACTATGGGAAGTGTCTGCTTAGCTCATGAAGCTTCTTCACAATGACCCAATTTCAGAATTGGACTCAGCAGAGGCTCTGATTGCCTGACCACCCCCACCCCAGCCACCCTTATTGAATGGACTAAATGTAGACATCTTAGCTAACTCGGCCAGTCAGATTGCTTCACCCAGGAGTTTATGACTGGCACTCAGCTGTTCCACCTGGTTGGAAATGTTCTGTGGTCTGAAAGGCGAGTATGGACTATCTGGGAAGTGGGAGGAAGGGGAGGGGAAAAGTCAGGGAGAGGTGAGGAAACTATAGGGAGAAACCGAGTGAGGGAAGGAGGGGAGGAAGAGAGGATGTCTGCAGTGTTGGCAGCTTTTCAACAGGGTCAGTTCTTCAAGGGTGTAAGGATCAGTTGGATTCCTTGAGATAATTATTACCTTGCCAGTACACTTTTTTTATTTAAAAGATTTATTTATTTATGCATACAGAACTGGGTTACAGGCCAGAGGTATAGGGGTGGTGAGAGGATTCACTAGAGACAGAGTGGGGAGCAGAACAGGCAGATCGATGAAGTAGACTGCTGAGGTGGGGGGCGTGTCAGGAGAGGGCTGCCGTACCATGTGGGTCACCTCCAGGCCGGGTGGGGTTCGAACTCATGCTTAAGTGGCTTTAGCTTCTTAGTCCTGTGCTTTAACCCGCTGCGCCACCAGGAGGGCCGGCCTCTTTTAATCTTGCTTTAGTCATTCTAAAGTGTGTTATTTTTCTATGATTTGCAAGTAAAAGAACCTTAATCAAAAGATGTTCTCTAAAAAAAGAATTTAACTTTTAGGGCTCTGTCCTTAGGAACTATTTGGTCAAATGAAGAAAGAAGTATTTGTAAGAGTTGTTCCTAATATTAAAATGAAAATGAACCCAAATGCCCACCAATGTGAGAGTGGTTAGTTATTCATTCCATTTACTGAGCAATTACTGTGTGCCAGGCTCTGAGCTAAGTGCTGAGGGCAGTGTAACAGTAAAAAACAAGGCAAAGCCTCTGGTCTCACGGGAACTTGTAGTCTAAGATGCACAATGTAAACATAGGGGCACACTGTCCTAGCTGGATGATGATGAGAAGAGTGAGGAGTAGCCCCAATAACAGGCATAAAGACCCTAAGATCTAGGTTATTTCAAGGCCAGAAAGAAAAGTCCTTATAGCTAAAGGAGGAGAATGAGATTGGAGAGGTAGGAAAAAGGGCCAGAATAGGAGTGGGGCGTAATGAAGCAAAGACAGCAGGGCAGGTTGTGATATTAAAAAGATCAATGAGTTGTTTATTGCTGCTTTATTTACAATTGGAAAAACATGGA